GTTGTGTTTTCATTTTCTTTTGTTTTGAGACATTTTTACATTTCCTTTTCAATTTTGTCATTAACTCATTATTAATTAGTAGCATATTGTTTCACTTCCATGTGTTTGTATATTTTGCAATGTTCCTCTTGTAACTGATGTCTTGTTTTATTATATTGTAGTAATAGATGTTACTTTGTATGATTTCAATTTTTTAAACTGTTGATGAAGTTGTTTTCTTTCCTAACACAGGGTCCATGCTTGAGAATGATCCATGAGCTTTGGACAAGAGCAAGAATTCTGTAGCTATTGGAATGACAGGTTTTGCAATATTTATTAGGTCTATTTGTACTATAATGAAGATCAAGTCCAATGTTCAATATTGATATTCTGTCTGGAGGAACTTTGCAAACCTGAAAGTAGAGTACTGAGGTCTCCAATGATTATTTTATTGTGGTCCATCTCTCTAGCTCTAATAATATTTGTTTTATATATCTGGGTACTCCAGTGTTGGGTGCCTATATATTTAGAATTGGTATATTCACTTGCTGAATTGACCCCATTTTCAGCATATACTGACTGTATTTGCCTCTTTTTACAGCTCTTATCTTGAAATCTATTTTATCTGAGAGAAGTATAGCTACTCCTGCTCATTTTTGGTTTCCCTTTGCATAGAATATCTTCTTCCATCTCTTTATTTTCAGTCTATATATGTCATTATAGGTGAGTGTGTTCCTTTTCGACAATTACAGTTCACTCTTTTTTTTTCAATTAGCCACTCTATGTCTTTTGATTGGAATATTTAGTCCAGTAATATTTAATGTTATTACTGATAGGTATGGACTTACTACTGCCATTTTGTTATTTGCTTTCTTGTTGTCTGTGTTCATTTCTTTCTTTCTTTCTTTCTTTCTTTCTTTCTTTCTTTCTTTCTTTCTTTCTTTCTTTCTTGTAATACCCTCTGGGAGTGTGATTTCATTTTTGTGTTTCATTTTTTGGTACCTGTTGAGGATTCTTGATTTGATATTACTACAAGTCTTAGAATAAGCATTTTATAACCAATCATTTTAAACATATGCCAACACTGCTCACAAACAAACAAATAACAAAGAAAAGACCATGCTAACAGAAATTTGACCCTTTAACTCCATTCCTCCATTATAAAAGGTTATTCTTTCCATCCATATCTTTTTATGCTCTCTTTTTGTACTATCTATCTCTCAAAAACTTGTTGTTATTTATAATTGGTTTGTCTTTTAGTCTTCATGCTCAAGATATAAGTGGTTTATACACCACACCTACAGCAATATTCTGCATTTGTGTGCTTATTATTATCAATGAGTTGTGTACCATCAGAAGATTTCTTACTGTTTATTAATGGCCTTTTCTTGCAGGTTGGAGAACTCCTTTTGGCATTACTTGTACAATAGGTCTGGTTTTAGTTAAATCCCTCAGCCTTTATCCAGGAAAGTCTTTATTTAGACCTCACATCTGAAGGATATTTTTGCAGGATATAATATTCTAGGGCTAAAGTATTTTTCTGAGCATGTTAAATATATCATACCCCTCTCTCCTGCCCTATAAGTCTTCCACTGAGAAGTCAGTTGCCAGATGTATTGGAATTCTTTTGTATGTTATTTTTTTCTTTTTTGTTGCATCTCTTCCATTGTCTTCTTTATCCATGACTATTTGGGAGCTTGATTATTAAGTGTCTTGAGGTAGCCCTGTTTGGGTTAAATCTGCTTGGTGTTGTATGACCATCTTATACCTGAATATTTATTTCTTTCTTTACGTGTGGAATGTTCTCGTTCATTATTTCTTTGAATAAATGTTCTATCCCAATCTCTCTTGCTACTTCCTCTTTGAAACCAAAAACTATTATATTTGATTTTAGGAGGATGTTTTCTAGATCCTGTAGGTGTATTTCATTCTTATTTACTCTTTATTTTTTCTCTTATGCTTCGTATGTTCAAACTGCCAGTCTTTGAGCTCACTTATTCTTTCTTCTGATTGCTCAACTCTGCTAATGAGAGAATTTTTTTATTTCAGCATATGATGGGTGTACAAAAGTTAAGGTTACATATATTGCACTTGGCTCCCCTACCCCCTGGAGTCAGAGCTTCAAGCATGTCCATCCCCCAGGTGGTTCACATTGCACTCATTATATATGTATATACCGATCCCCTCCTCCCCTCTCCCACCTGCCCGACCACCAATAAATGTTGTTTTTTTTTAACATTTTGGTTACATTTTATATCTTTGTTTCTCCCTAGCAAAGATTAGAGGTATGCCCTTCCCCTCCACAATGCTTATCACATCCCTAAGATGTGGGTCTACCCCACAACCCCTGAATCCCTGGTGAACATTACCACCAAATGAGCACTATAGTGTTAATCAGTCAGTACCAATTTGATGACAAGTACCTGTGGAGCATGTTTTTCAGATCTTATGTCACCTCACTTTGGATAATACGCTTAAGCTTAAACCAGAATAGTATAAGTGGCAGTAGCTCATTGTCGTTTCTTAGAGTTAAGTAATATTCCATTGTGAACATATACCAAATTTGAATAATTCAATAATGAATAGAAGGGTACTTGGATTGTATCCATATCTTTGCAATAGGTATTTATTTAGTCTTCACAATCTGGGATTGTTTGAACACAATATTCTTAGAAGGCTTTCCAGATACTGAAATGGAATTGAGTGCTGGGGTCTAAGTCTTAGATCACTGCAGCTATATTAGCACTGGGTAATGCTGTGATTCTTGCAGTCTCCTTATAGTACCACCTTCATGACCTTGGGAAAGAAACAAGAGAATTCCCTGAATGCCAGGCAAAGTTTCTCACTTTCCATCCTCACTATCTGTCCACTATCTGTGGAGGAGGAGAGGAGGGAGGATTCCTGTGGTCACTCAATCAGGGCCACCACAACTATAAATGTGGCAGGTCACACCTGAAGCAAGCTCATGCTTACCCAAAGCCAGTGGTCACTGTTGCCTCACTACTATTGATGTTTATTAAAAGTCTAAGAGCTGTTTATTCAAAAGAAGTGAATCCTCTAATGACTGCATGCTTCCCTTCAAGGTAGCATGTTTCTTTCTGGCCAAGAGTGGGTCCAGAAATGCCAAGAAGGAAATTTTGGTATACTGAGAGGCATCAAGAGTCTACTTGGTGCTTAATTTTATTGTGGCTGGGTTGCTGCCTGAGTCACAAAACAAAATCCTCTAAGCTCTTCCTTTCATTTCCTCAAGCTGAAGAATTCACTCCATGAACCTGGCTGCCTGAAGTTGGGGGAAGGTTGACAGAACACCTGGCTTGGCCATAGCTCCTGGTCTCTCACTGGATCATATGCCCCATAAGTCCAATGGCTCTGAGCCAGCACAGCCATAGAAATTCCCCAAGGGATGCAGCCCTTGTGGTCCTGCTGCCTTACCAATTTAGTACAGTCTCAAGGCGGCTCTTTTTCTACTGGTGGTTGGACTAGTAGGGAGTCAGGCTTTGGGGGGGACAATTTCCCGCTAGCTATGCTGGGAAAATTGCTTCTTCTGTGAGCACTGACAGAATTTTGCCCTGTGTTGTGTTCCACTCTGCCAGTGTGGCCCAGACTTTCAATGTAAAGTCCTAGAAGTACTTCACTTTCCTTCCTCTGCCAGATAGATTCTCTGTCCATTCTGTAAGCTAGTCCATCACTGCCAAAGATTGGGAGTTGGTGTAGGCAATGGAAGATTGTCTATGTGCCCTCTTTGGTAACTCATCCTTTGATATAATGTGAAAACTGGGTAGTATAATCACTCACGTAAATTTGTTTCTTTTGTATTTGCTTGCTATTGTGGATAGTTGTTGAATTAGGTGTCATCTAGAAAGAGAATCCTTGGCAAATTCTATTTGGCTTTATTGCTCCACTCTATCTTTTCTGTTATTTTTTAAACATGAATTTAGATGGCAAGGAAATGTTATGCTTTACAAAAGTAAATATTTGGCACTGTCTGTCTACTAAATATGGGGTTTATAATTTTTTATGAATTCTTTCCTATAATATTAACAACATGTTTGTGAGCTAGGTCCTCTTTAATAAACAGGAAATGTAGAAGCTTAGGGAAGTAAACTAATTTTTCCAAAGGCAAATATTTAGGAAGTGATAGCAGCACAATAGAAAACCTACTCTTTCTGACACTAATGCTGAAAGATCTGTATTATTCTTCTAGTAGATTTTATTTATTTATTTATTTGGACAGAGTCTCACTCTCTTGCCCTGGATACTGTCACTGTTACATTGCCATAGAGAAATTCTCTGACCTGTCTTGCCTGATTGTAGGTCATAAGACCCTCAGCTCTGAAGAGGTCCTGCCTACATCAGGTAGGAAGGAATGTTACACAGAAAGAAAAAGAAGAATCTGTGCAGACCTTGTTGAGTTTCCCCAATCAGTCTTTTATCATTAAATTATTCCCATTTTGCCCAACCATATTTCTACACAGTGTATACTCTGATAATCTTAAGCAAAACAATGTATAATCTCACCTCTACTTTGGTTCTTCATCCTTAAAGATCTCATGTGGTCATGTTAAATAAATTGTTATGCCTTTTCTCCAGTTAATCTACATTTTGAGAGTTAATTTTCTAGTTTTTTAGCAAAACTTTCAAGGTCCAAGGAGAACTTTCTACATGTGTGATATGGGTAGATGATATGAATGTCAAAATTGTGAGTATTAATAGAAGGGGTGTCTCATGTTTAAATGTAGCCATAAGAAGGAAGGAAGAAAAATCTCAACTCATGAGAATGAAAATATCCATCACTTGAGAGAGTGATAAGGATTGCATTAATTTCAGAGGGAAGAGATAGATCTGTTACAGTAAATTGGTAAAGGATTAGTCTTCAGAAGAGGTTGAGGTTATGCAGCATTTGGTTAATAAGTGACCATGAATTTTAAGGGATTTAGGAGGTGGGAAAAGGTAGAATATATATTCAGCCTAGCCAGAGGGAGAAGTTAAAATTAAAAATTAATTGGTTATGATTTCTAAGGGCACAGATATTGCATTTCAGGAATTTGGAGTGATAGAATATAGACTCAGCAAAAGTCATGTCGACTTTGTTGGGTGAAGACAAGGGTAGGGTTGAAATCAAAGGTTGCTTGTGATGAACAATGTGCCTGGGAGCAAGAGTATAAGAGGATTAGTCTTAAAGACTTTAAAGCAGAGAAGACTGGGGCTGCTGTGAAAGTTGAAGAGAGACAGTGTGAAAGACTGACCAGGACTACACAGGTATGTGACTCCTTCTCAGAGCTTGCTGCTGTGTACATGTTTGCCTGAAAACATTATTATTCTAAGAGTGTGCTGTAATTCCCTCTTGAACTTACGTGGGAGAAGATTGGTTTTATCTAATTGTGTTGGCTCTAATTTGAGGTAGACTTGCTAATGAATGATCAAAGAAAATTCACAACTTTAAGTGCTGTTATGTTAACAAATGAGAGTGAAAACATTGAACTAAGCATTTTACTCAAGAAGTCAGAAAATAGAAAAGGAGAATGGCATTAAATATGATAAAAACTGAAACTAATATTTTGATAACAAACTAACAGTAGAATTGAAAATAAGTACAAATGTTTATCTCCTTTATGTTTTTCTGAAAAGATAAATGGCCCAAGCTGGCAGGCTAACTAAAACGGAAAACAGAAGCAGAAAAGAGTAAGTCATAAGTACTATTACCTTTAAATAGGTAATTAAATGAAACTACTCTCTTCAACACCTGTCTGTTAAAGTGTAAAATACTGGTGACATTAACAATTTTCCTGGGACAAGACAAATGAGAAGTATTGAGTTAAGGATAGAAAAGAATGAGGAACTTTTAAAATACTGTGGAAGATGTTAAAAGGACATTATCAAGTGTATTAATTTCCTACAGCTGCAAAAACTAAGTACCTCAAACTGGATGCCTAAAGCAACAGAAATTTTTTTTCTACCATTCTGGAGGCTAGAATTCTTAAATCAGTCTTCTAGGGGAGAATACTGTCTTGCCTCTTCAATTTTTGCTAGCCCCAAGCAGTCCTTAGCTGGAGGCCACTTCACTCCAATTTCTCCAACAACTTTACCTAGCATTCTCCCTCTGTGTCGGTCTTCACATGGGTTCTCTTCTCTGTGTGTGTCTGTGTCTGTATCTTCTCTATTCTTATAAGGACACTAGCTCATCCTGGGTTAATGTCCTAACCTATTCCATTATGAATATGTGCATGTACTCACACTCTAAATACATTGTCCCTCCACTGCTGCAAGATTGCTACTCACAGCACAACTTGGACCAAACTCTCAGATCCTCAAATTTCTTCCTCTCTGGATCACATTCCTCTTACTTTGTGCTCAAGGTGCAGGACCAGGAGTTCTCAGGTTTCCAACTAAGACTAATAGAGTCCAAGTCAAAATGGGTGCATCAGTAAGAAGGGCAGGTCTCCACTAAATCACAAATCTAGAATTTTCATCTTTCCAGAATAACTGCCTAGAATCCTGACAAGAGGTGTGTTTCATTTTTCTTGGAGAAACCGTACTCACGGTTGCTATGAAAACAGGATGCAGCACCTTGTAGAACCAATGTAGCCATTGACCTCATGTTAATCAATTAGATGAGCAACAACCTTGTTTCTGAATAAAGTCAAACTCTGAGGACCTAAGAAGTGCAAGAACTTTTGTGGTCATACTATTCAAGGAACTGTCCACAAAGTTTAAAACTGTCTTTTAAAATTTCAGGGTTAAATAATATCTTTTATTAAACCTTTCCATAGTATGGAAATGATTCAAATTTTTTTCAAATATTATACTGCTGAAAAAATGTAACAGTTACCAAAAACTTGACCAATCAAAGAATAATTATAGATTACAAATAGAGAAGTAGAGAATCCTGATTGTCCCAGCAAGGCAAAACCTTTACTTCTCATCAGAAGGACCCATAGCAGCATCCAAAGCACCCAGGCAGCAGTGTGCTTCTTCATCTTTTTACCTCTAATGCAGACCTACGGCTGTGTCTCATCCCATTGGTAGGGACTTTGACCTCACAATCTTCTCCTTCCCTGATTGGCTAAGGCATGTTGTTTAGGTAAAATGGAGAAGAAGGAAGTTAAAGTTAGTAAATGTGTGGTTTTCAGTTTTTTGGTCTTGCAATAAAGGAGATTAAGCCAAGGTTATTGTTATTGTACAGTTTGTGCTATGTGCTAATAATTATGTAGAGCTGGATATCAGACAGAGTATTCCTTGGGCAGAAAGGATTAGGCCGAGGTCATCTCCTCCTACAATTTCCACTTCTTTTGTATTAGATTTTTTTACTCTTTTCTTCAAATTCAGTGAGGAGAAGCTGACTTTGGTGTTCTTGGTTTTTTAATAGTAACAACTATTTTTCATATGGAGGTGGAAGAGGTTGTTTAGTTAAGGTGCTCTAATGATATTTTCTTTGGCTGTGCAAAAGTTTTTTAATTTGATTAGCTCCCATTTCTTTATTTTTGTTGCTGCTATGATTGTTTGGGGGGTCTTCTTCATAAATTCTTTGCCTAGGCTAATGTCTGAAAGAATCTTCCCTATATTTTCTTCCAGGATTCTAAAGGTTTCATGCCTTAGGTTTAAGTCTATCATCTGTCATGAATTGATTTTTGTAAGAGGTGAGAGGTGGGGATCCAGCTTCAATCTTCTGCATGTAGTTATCTAGTTTTTCCAGCACATTTACTGAAAAGAGATTCTTTTCCTCATTGTATATTTTTCTCTGCTTTGTCAAAGGTTAGATGAAAATATGCAGATGATTTCATTTCTGGATTCTCATGCTTTTTGCAAAGGTCTATATTTCTGTTCTTGTGCCAGTAATATGCTATCTTAGTTACTATAGCCTTGTAGTACAGCTTAAAGTCTGGTAGACTGATACCTCCCAGTTTGTTCATTTTGCTTAAGATTGCTTTGGCTACATGAAGTTTTCTCTGGTTCCATACAAAGCATAGAATTAGTTTCTCTAGATCTTTGAAGAATGATGATGGTCCTTTGATAGGGACTACATTAATTTTGTAGTGCACTTGGGGTAGTATGGACATTTTAACAATGTTGATTCTGCCAATTTATGAGCAAGGTAGAATTTCTCACCACTGCTCCATGAGGCAAGTGAAAGGGTCATCTATCCTGGAGCTTTCAGCTAGCTTGTTAGAGAAGGTACTAAGTGCTTGCAGAGCTTTGGTGATTGTGCCATCCAGAGCTGTGTTGTTGGGGCTATAAGTGCAGCACTGGCCTCCAGTCATGTCACACTCACTGCACATTTTCTGTTAATATCATATCTAAAGCCATTCTATTTCCCCAGGTCATTTTACTGGTGGGCCTCGTTGTTTAGCTATATCTTTGATGGCATCCCTGGTATAATTTACAAATCTTTGTTGATTGTAATCTATACAGTTGATTCAGTCTGCATTTATTCACAGTGGAACACCAGAAGAATAAAGATTCAAATCTAGCTCCTATTTGGTTTCTATTTTTGTATTCATTTAGTAACTCCTGGGGGACTCTAATAGCATTAATAAAAATATGTGAATCCAAAGATCCTCTTGAACTATCTATTTCTCTTTTTTGTCTGATGTTCTCTTTCCTGAATTGGGCGCTGATGGGACACCATGGTAAAAGAGACATCCAATTGCACAAATGCGCAGGTGCCACTGTAGCTTTTTAGTAGGACGTGAAATTTTTCTTCTTTCATTACCACCAGAGGTCTCCTCAGGATGTGGAGAGCATAGACTGATCCTGTAGCTTCTTGAAGGCCAGGCTTTCATGGCACCCTATCGTGTTTCTAAGAGCCACCGCCCCCTCCTCCTACCTAGAGAGACAGAAGGTAAGTTGATGTCAGAGACTGGTGACCTTATGGTCCTTGGAGGCTGAGCTGCAAGACCTCTCATGTCATGGAAAAGTAATCATGGGGTTTTGCATAATTTATTTCCTCATGCCGTGGTCTCTTGGAAGAGAGCTACCATACAGTGCATGCTCATAGGATCTACAGGCCATCCGAGTGGAAAGGAAACTATTTGGGTCTCCCGTCTTCCTCTCACACAGGAATAACAATTGCACTTATGTAGGGTTCAGACAGAATATTTGATTGATTTTAACCACGCACTTTCATTTATATATCCAGTTTCTATTGAAACTGTTTCCCTTAAATCCTTGACTTTTATAACAGTTACCTTAGATTGGTCATCAGGGAAAAATGAAGGTATAGTGTTGTGTGCGTTATTCCTCTTACTTTCTATTTGATAGTTTATTTTCCTCTGTTAGATAGGTTATTGTAAGATTATCTTTCATTTCCCCCTCTCTTTGGTAAAAAAAAAAAATTATATTTAATGAATTTAAAATCTGGGGAATAAATGTGGGAGTATCCTCTTTGTAGTTGTTTCCTGATTGACTTGGAGGTTGAGATGTCTCTACCTGAGCTGAGAATTTATTTGTGTCACAAAGGGGGAGGAGTTTGAATTCAGAGGGTTTTAAAAGTGAGAGTAGAGGCAGGACAGGAATCACAAAACTGTAAAGGTTCTTTTTACCTACTTTTTGTTTATTTTCCTTCAGTTTTAAATGAGTAACTGGCTGTTCCCAGTTGCTCTTGAATTTATTATAACATAGTTCAGTGAGTTTTATTGCAATGCCAGTAACTTATCAAATGTAGCTTTAGTAGGCAAACGATACATAGAAAGCTTAACAAACTCTACATTTTAACTCTATAGTGGCAGATTGATTGAATTTTGAAATTTTAATGTATTTTGTACATTTGTTTAAACAGATATACAAGAACAGAAATTCTAAAAGTTTTATACATAAATCTTATAAACTGAGAACAGAAAACTTTGTTGCTTTAACCAGAGATTTATCATTCATTATAGCCAGCTTTATCACATATAAAATCCTTTTGTAAATTCTCCTCCACAAACCTTATCTCAACTTGCGCAGACTATCCTCGACATGCCTGGAATTTCTGTTTTTTCTTAGATTTTCTTTCTTAAGCCACCAGTTATTTGTTAGGACAAAAATTTTCATACAAGTTTCCTTTCTGTACAAAAATTATTCTCTTTCTTTCAACTTTCCTTATCAAGAACACATTTTCATATCTTTAACTTTCATTACATCTCTCTCTCTCCTACTCACTGGTTCCTTCTATCTTGTTTTTTACTTTCTTGCTAAAATAATAGACTTAGGACTCTAGGTCTAGATAAAGGGGAAAAGAAGGTTGTATGTAAATTCTCAATTAATTTTTTCCATGAGCCCCA